TGTATGTATGTAGTATTCTTAATTATGGAGCAGAGGTGTGGGGATTTCATAAAGCTCCAGATGTAGAAAAAATACAAAGTCTCTTTTGTAAAAAGTTACTTCGTTTAAAAAAAAGTGCCTGTAACAATCTTGTGTATTTCGAACTTGGAAGAATGCCTATGAGGGAATCTAGAAAATTGAAAATTATAAAATATTTTTTGAAACTAAAGGGGACACAAAATATTCTACTAAAATCATGCTTGGAAGAAAGAGTAAGGAATAATGATAGTTGGATCAGAGATATTCAAAATGAACTTAATAAACTGGGACTTGGCTATATATTTGATGCAGATTTCAATGATAATACTTACATGTTAGTAAAACAAAGATTCCTTGAGGTGAATAATCATACTATGATTTCTAATATTTGTAGCAATGCCCGTAGCCCGCTATACCAACATTTGGTTGATAATTTTGGTATACAATATTACTTGCGTAAACCTATTAATTATATGTACAAAATACAAATTGCTAGAATTAGACTATCTGCACATAATCTAAATGTTGAAACTGGTAGATATGTTAATGAAATTAGAAAAAACAGATTATGTAAAATGTGCTCTTTGAATGTTATCGAAGACGAATTTCATTTTATTTTACAATGTCCTTTTTATCATGACCTTAGATCTAAGTATTTGAAAAAGTATTATTATAAGAAATCCAGTGTTTGGAAATTAATTCAACTTCTAAGTGTACAAAATATAAAGGAACTTTGTAACCTTGGAAAATATTTATATCAAGCTTCCACTAGAAGAATGAAACATTTGTAAATTTTTAAGTATTTCATAATTACAGTTGCCTGTTAGAAAACACGTCCTACATAGTTTACTTGCTATTTATTGATTACGCTCACTCTCATATTGTTATATTTTACAATATTGTATATATGTTTATATATGTTATCTGATGTGTCGTATGACGCAAAGAAATAAAGAACTTGAACTTAAAACTAACCCTTATGTAACAGCTGTCTGACTTCACTAAAACTCGCGTAAATTATCTCCAAATGTGTCATTTTGAAATGTTCGTTACTGTCGCCGGTAACAGAGTTTGCACTTAAGGTGCTTAATTTTAAAACTTAAAGAAAAGAAACCGTAAAAAATAACATCATTTAAGATTAAACATATCAAAGTCTGAAAATTAAAAATAACATCGATGTATTTTGACTGATTTTATGTTCTGTACTTGATTTTAAAGCGATGTCGCCAAATAAGACACACGATAAATATCGCCAAATAAAAATATTATGAACGTTACTTATCAAGACACAAATATAACTATAGACAAGCGATGCGAATTTTTATGTAGCTTACTATCACAAACATCCTTTCTTAATACATATACATTTCAACTTTCATCCGCATAAATTTAATTCAGTCTGTAACTTTGCCTTCTTTCTGCGATGAAATAACAATGAAATGTTCGTTACCTTATTCATGCAACTAAACGTACTATCTTCACATCGGCTGATTATTTCATTACAGAACTAATGTGTGTCGCAAAGAAAAACAACATTTATATCAGCAATCCTACTTTCATTCGAATCAATATTCCATGGTATGTGCTTGTTTGAAATGTTCGTTACTGAAATGTTCGTTACATAGTTTTAAATTCAGTCACTTTAAACGGCACGAAAACACAACTTCAAGCGTGTTTAGGATAGAAGTTACAACCCGCCACAATATTTGAATGTCAGTGTTGAAGGTGAAACATTCAAACATTCAATTTCTTAAATACTTCATGCTGAAGACAAGGTTGGTCAATACACTGATGTGTACTGTGAGTTATGAACAATATTATGATATTTATTTATACAGAACAACTGAGAATGAATAAATAGACCTCTGCTTAGAATTTGACATCAATGTTTGTGCTGTATATCTATAGTATTGCTCAAAATAAACAAAGAAATGTTCGTTACAGATGGTAACGAACATTTCACTTTCGGTATCATATCGTATTGAAGTATTTTTTAAAATTTCTTTATCCGTCTATGAAGTTAATTGGATTAGAAACAATGTACCACATGTATGAGAAGTTGAATTTTGATTTGTTTATATAATTAAAACAGTAACACTACACAGTGAACACAGTGTTTTAAGATATGTCATGTTGATATTGTTTTGTTTTTTAATATTATTCTTGATCTATTGAAATTTTGACAAAACGGCATTTTGTCATTTCATTTACTGTACAGAAAGTATGCACACATAATCATGTTTATCATGGATGTTTCCTTCTCAAAATTTAATATTTTTTTCAAAATTAGTCTAAAATTCATAAGTAACGAACATTTATGAAATGTGGTAACAAACATTTCTCATCATGTTATGTAATTTTATTTCATTTCTATTTAAACTAAATGGAAAAATCACTAGCTGAAAGTCAGAAAGACTACCGGGAAAGACTAAGGCTAAGGAAAATAAGAAAGAATGTAATTATAAGCTATATACAGCCGTGATTAGGATTTGTGAAATGTAACGGACATTTCTAACGATTGCAAATTTAACAATTTTACAGACTGTAAAGTAACTTTCAAGAAACAAAAATGTTTTCAGAAGTGAGGAAAAACCTTATTGTATAATTTGGTACAAATGATATTTTAGACATGCATGGAATTAAAAAAAAATGGAATATTAATCTGTTGGTAACGTACATTTCCAAAGGATATGACTATCACAGTGTAGGAAATTGACCCGTTTATTGACTATTCAATAGAAATCAATATTCTTATTATGATTGTTTCTCATCATTATTATGAATATTTACAGAAAATTTTATCACAAAATCCAAAATTATTTCTCTAATGGCACAAAATTGCCCTTTTCACAGTCAAATGACTTCAAAATCATTTATTGACACCTGCATAATATATTTCAGCAGTAACTTGTGTGTTATTTGCGTCAATAAAATAATTTACACTAAATTTATTTAAAAGTAAGTGAATACGTATTGTTAAAATTTAATTTAAATCTATCTAAATCAAAACATGTTTATTCATGAAATGTACGTTATTTTTAGTCCCTTTTTGTTCTATGATTGCAAAGACATTGTATTTTGTTTGGCGAATCCCATATTCTTTTAATGAAGATTAAAACACATATTTTCAATGTTTGTTGTATCATATTTCTTTTAGTATTTGTAGAGTGTAAAACATGCAATATTTTTATAATCCTAAAATGGGGAAAAGTCCAAATAATACCATTTCCTGTAACATACGGTATATCACTAATAATAAATCTCATTCCGAGTATTCCATGGTTTTTAAATACGTACACAAAGTGTTTTTATTATACCTTGTTATAATTTGATATTTATAATCTAATATTTTGTGTTAAGCCACTGAAAAAGTAATGAAACACCCTGGTAACGTACATTTTTAAGGTTAAATTTTATGATAAAATGCCATAACTTTAAAATGTCACAACTCAGAAACCCATCAATTCTTGTTGAAAAAAAATTGTATTTGTAATGTTGAATTATTGATTTTTAACTATCAATCAATGTTTTTCTGTTTTCTTACAATCCATTTTATGACCGATGCCACTGGGTCTTTGCACCCTTTTATTGAGTTTGAGTGTGACATGGTTAAAGCGATTTCTGCAGAGTTGCGGAGTAAGGAGTTGATCCTACCTTGAACCCGCGACGGGTTCAAATCCTATTGCAGGACATGAAGATCGGTCCTTCGGATGAGACCGTATAAACCGAGGTCCCGTGTCGCAGTAGGTGCAGGCACGATAAAGATCCCTGAGTGAAAAATTCTCGAAGGGACGTTAAACAAACAAACAAGCAATCAAAACCCAGTCAGTGTTCTTGGTATTTAACGGGTCTAGTGTTATATAGAGCTAAATTATGATCACGATATTGAATCAGTCTCTTTTATGGAAGTAAAAAAAAGGAAACACACTTTAAAAATATTCTTTTATAATTAAATTCAAGTTGTAACGCTCCATATAATGATTATTTAATTTCGTTGAAATCGTATAGAACCGCTTTGCCTACGTCACAAGAATTTACGTAAGAAACAATGCGATTCTCTTTACGTTACAATTAAGAATTTAATAGCTTGAAGGCATTTCTAAAAGGAAATGATATTTATTTTTTACCCTCAATGACAGAAAATTACATCAAGAGGAATAAATCTAATAACTGGTACCCAAGAAATACTTGTATAACCAAGAATGGGATAGTTTACTCTTTATTCTTTTTTTTAAATAAACCGCTTTATATTAATAAAGCTGAAACTACCATTCCCAAGGTTATACAGTATACCTTCGGTAGCTCCTAATATATTTTGTTCAGTGCACCTTTATATTTTGATAATAACATCTGAGATAAAGAATGTAATATGTTTTTTCAAAATAAAAACATAGATGATATACGATGTATCCGAAATTTCAATCAATGTAATTGCATTCCTAAAGCAAAACAATCTGTTGTGTAAAATCCAATTGATTTGAAGACTGTAAACTATATCATACTAGACAATCTTAACAAGAACATATTTTTACCAAATTTAGTTCCAAGTTTACATGGAATGAACGCTCTCCAAAAATAAAATGAAAATTCTTATATCTCTCGAATCTATAAGTTCCAACAAGCATAAGGTTTAAGCATAATTTGGTAATCGCAATATACACAGCAGCAGCAGGAATAACGCCCAACATTATTTTTTTCTAACGAAACAGTAAAACATTGGAGTTTGACCTGAATTATCCACGAATAAAAAACCTGCAGCTGTTCTTTGAATGAGAGCGTATAATTAAATTAAGTGAGAATCTGCACGCGGTGGCTTGTATTAAATGTAAATGTCTAAGCTTGTATTGACTCCAGGCTGTTTCACAGAGTTATCTTTTCATACTTTGGTTTAAATGCGCAGTACCAAAAAATATTCAGGTCACTGCGATTCCATTTCATTGGCACTCTACAAGAGATAAAAAAGGGATGTAATCAATATTGATTTTTTAGCATCTAAACCGAGGTTCCTTGTTTACAGTGTGTGATATATTTAGCTTTTACTAAGTCTCAGGAAAACGTAGAAGTTGCATTAAATTAATTTACATATTAAAGCATATTATTCCGGATTGAATTGGCCACTGTTTTCAATATGTAAACTTTGAAACAATGGAAATTCATGCTTGCATATTTGTTGTGATTTATTTGATGGTGTGTGTGACATACGTTTTGGGTAAGTCTGAAATTCTGTTTTTGTTTTCATTTATATGTGTGTGTTTTCCTACATACTGCAGTCATTTGTCGCTATGTCAACATTATCCACCTAAATATTGTATCGAGATTATAAAGAACCATTAAAAAATTGCGGGTTTAAAATTAAAATTAAAGCTTTTATATCACTGATCTCTTTTCAAACAATAGAAAATTATACGTCTATGAATATATCTTCTTTTAATATATTTTCTTATCAACAAAAGTAAAGTTTGTGAAAATGAACACAGTGTGCCTCTCACAGTTTGTAAATTTAACATTAATTACGGATTCGGAATTCATGAATATTAGTGACTAAAGCTGCGGAGAAGCTTAAAAATCGTAGTCTTCCCAACTGATCAATATAGATAATCAAACATGACAATTGTGATGTTTATACATCTGAATACACTTATATATATACCCTTTATCGAAGTTTGATTCCTGTATTTCGAAAGTTTTTTGGAGTTCCAGATGATATTTATATAACCCTTTATTTAAGGACTCCGTACCCCATGAGAAAAGAGAGAGAGAACGTGTTACTATCATAAAACCGAATTAGTGAACTTCAGAAAATGGAGCTCTGAAAAAAATCGATGGTAATTTCTTTGATAGTGCAGTGTCGAATTCATACGTAGACGCCCAGTTCCTTGCAATAAGTGGATAGAAATCAGTAGTAGATAGTTTTCTATAGATACAATGTATAAATTAGATAATTGTATAGTTCTCGAAATATCTGCTTGCGTACCGTAGTTAGTCGACAGTTGAACTTACTTGGAGATGAATTCATTAGACACATTGCCTAACTCCGATCAAGATAATTAACAAGAAATTTGACGTAATGGGGAAATCCTTAAGAATATTTTTTTCTTCCTTTTATCTGTCATGAAATACATTTTATTATTTTAACACGAGGAATCAGGAACCCTGAAATATCTAGAGTTGTCAGTGTTAGAGTAATCACTTATGGCCAGTTATTTGTTAATTTACCCCAGTTAAAAATATATATGAGGACCTTATTGTGTAGGGAACATGACATTTGGAATAGCTCGAGGACAATTTTGAGTCAAGGACTTTTAAATCGATCAACGTTTTAAAAGAAAAAGAAAAAACAACGAAGTTTACACAATGTCTTCATTGAATTTTGTCTCCAACGTTTCATAAATATTTCAAAATTTATGAAGCATTTCATAAAACATATTTAAACTACATTTCACTAGCTTTTTGCTTCAAATTCCTATGCTTACCTCTTCAGTATCATTACAATAAATGGAGAAAAAAATGTATGGCCAAAAAGCCAAATTAATGACTTTTAGAAACTGGAGAAGCTTTAAGAAAAATCGATGGGCCGAGTGTAGTTATTCATCCGTGTAAGCTTAGCACAGTTTTGCTGTTAGTGACAAGAAATTGATGGAAGGTAATTCCTATAAACGCATTGTGTATAATAGATAATTGTACAGCTCCAATCAAAATATTTGCTTTGATATGTTTTATTAGTTAGCAGTAAAAACACATGTGGCTTTCCCGATCTAAGCTAAATTCATCAGGTACGTTTAATAATTCCGAAATATTATCAAGATGATAAAAATGAAATTTGACTTAATGATAAATTCCTGTAGAATATAATGATTTTGTTTGTATTACCTGTTCTGAAATATTTCTATTTTTTGTTTTGGTTTAACACAAGGTATTATCAAGCATGATAATATATATTTAGAATAATTAGTATTAGAGATAATATCCAACACCTCGCTTACTCTACCCCAATTAATCAATGAAGATCTAATTCTGGGACATGACGTTTAGAATAGCTAGAAGACAACAATTCAGTTTCAAGGCCGTTTAGAACTATCGATTTTCGAAAAGAAAGACGTGGAAAACGTGATGTTTATGTTTAAATCTGCATTGAATTTAATTCATGAATATTTGAAAGTTTCCGATCCATATCATAAAATGTATTTGTATTACATTATAATAGATTATTGCATTACAATTATAATTATTTGCGTTTTGCATTATTGGTTTATGCAACAAGCCATATATAGTAAGCAATTCTGAAAACCATGATTTTCCTTTTGAAAACAATGTCCTTATTTACATGATACGAGATTTAAAAAAAAAAAACAAAATTACATGCACTGGATATAACGTTTTCCCATTTGATCGAGAGAAAAAAAAATGATTAGATAAAACTCGAGAGAGCTAAATATTCAGTCCATGGAGAGCTATGAATGTATATTGGATAATAAAAAAGCATAGCTACTAAACTTCTGTATAGCGATGAAAAAGTTTAAAAAGAGGAAGCCAATTATTTACTGGAAAAAAATAAACAAAGAATACTTATATTTTTTAAACTCAAATAATGTACGTCTTCGAGACGCCTTCCACCTAACGCAATCTGAACTACCAACACACTGATTTTTATAGAACAATTACATTTGTGACAGTACGTGTACAATACGGCGAGATTAATATAAGATAAACGTGTAAACTTTATTTGAATGTAAATAGTATATTTTGTTAGATAACTTATTTTCTTCTCATTTGGAACAGACTGAAAAACATGAAAACATGAATAGGAATACCAAAGTCATAAAAAGGAGACGCTGTGAGGAAAATCGATATCAAATTCATTGATGTTTGTGTGGGAACTCATCCATAAAAAAGAACCAATTTGAAGATTGCTTTTTCCGATGAAAAATCCAATAATCATAAAATACTATATCGAATACTTGGCTACCGATTGTAATACTTGTTTGTATTTTATTTCACAATAATGTTTAGTGATAATGCGTGTTAAATAGTAAGAATAAAAAAACGAGGATACAATCATTATTTAAATAACCTTCATAAAACTAATTCTTGATAATTAATCATTTCTTCGACTGGATGATCTGAAAAACGGAAGGACAGTGAAAAAAAAGACCGGATAAAATTAAACTTATTAAAGAACTCATAAAATATTCTTATCATCGGTCGTCGGATTGATGTTCAGTCGTCTTCTCTTCGTGTGTATAATAAAATAATCACTTAAAATGAAAAAAAGGATAAATCTCATTGTGAGACTACATTGTTCAGCATTTTGAATTCATTTTTTTGTGATGATATCTACTGAACAATGAAAAAAGTGAAGATGACGAACAGTGATCGATATAAAAAAAAAAAAAAAAAAAATCTACAATCAATACGAATATGTGAACAGTTCATAAAATACGGATCCCCTGAAATTCCAGACGTGCCTAGGAGAAGTAAGCATCCAATGTTGACAGTTCACACCCGCCATGAGCCCTTTATGTATTGATCAGGCAGAAGAAACATCCCGTAGTCAAATTTAGTATAGAAACAAAGTCCTAAAAATGGCATGAAACACCTCAGGCAAAATACAACCAATGATTTATATTTTTTAACAAGGTCATTATAACGAACACATAATTCACGAAATGCTGACTTTAAACGAGGTTGTTAAAATACCTGTAACGTCAACTTATCTGTCAGTAGCCTGCCTCGGTTAAATTGATCGTACTCTGAACATACTCTTGGGTATCAAATAAGTTGGGAGATGTAAACACCATATGCAGGTGATGTAACTACATTTATAAAGTTAGTTGACGATGGAAAACTTGGTCATCTCATTTTGTCATTTGATGTACTTGTTAGTTGGCCCTTATCTTCTATAGTCAGTGGAAAATTCAGATATGAAACAGATGTGGAAGACTTTCTGTTGTCTTTTTTTTAGTTCACGGGGATATATCGAGTTTACATATGTATACTAGAATCTATGCTGCATTATTTGTTATCTTCATTAAAGAACAATTGTTTTTTTTTACCTTGACAGGTTGCAGTCAAGGGTGGTATGGAGAAGGTTGCAAATTTCAGTGTCCAACTAACTGCTTAGGAAATGTCTGTGATGCAACACAGGGCATATGTAAGAATTGTACCGACGGATGGACAGGAAACTATTGCGACCAGTGTAAGATATTTCTTATCTTGTCTACTGAGTATCTAAAATAAAAATAAATTTTATTATTTCAAGTCTATGCAGAAAAAATATGTATTGACGTTATTTCCAAGCGTAAAAACATTGCAGCATGTGCCCTAGGGACGTATGGCAGAGACTGTAAACAAGTGTGTGAAGGTCACTGTAAGGATGGCTGCAATCACGTGACCGGAAAATGTGACAAAGGTTGTGAAGCTGGTTGGTCCACAGAACACTGCAATAAAGGTAAATCTCTTTCATAACAGAATAAATATTAAAAATCAATTATCAAGACATATTAGCTCACCTGATCCTAAGGGTAAAGTGATCTTTTCTTGTGCAAGATGAGCCGTCTGTAGTATAATGTTTTCTGACTCAATCCTCGGGTTTTAGAATGGCGTCAAATATGGGATAAACCTTAACACGGGAATAAATGGAAAGACGTCCAAGAGCCAGGTAGACCTCAGATTTATTAATTTGAAAAAAAAAAAAAAAAAAAAAAAAAAAAAAAAAAAAAAAAAAAAAAAAAACAGTCCCAAGTTATATGGATCAGGTTTATCAAATTTATAAACCTGAGATTAATTTTGGCTATAACTGTGGATCAATTTTGCCATAATGCATAAATAAAGGAAAAAAATCTAACAGCGATTTTGTAAATCTTATACGGTACCAATTTTGATGCACCAGATGTGCATTCCGGCAAATCATGTCTCTTCAGTGAAGAGCTGAATAAAGGGGTGCAAAAGACTGGAGCCAAATACATCGAAGGATCAGAGCTATGTTTGAGGGAGATAATCCTTAATTTTGAAATAAATTTCTAATCTGATTAAATATTATCAATTCTGAATAATTCCAAATATTATTTTGGATTTGAATTTAATTATGTCATGACACTTTTATTGTGGCTAAGTTTGGGAGAAAAAAACTATTAAATTTCTCTTTGATGAACCTCAGTTCAAAGTGACTTTCAGAATGGTGAGTGCAGTGACAATGGATCTCTTGTTATGAATACAAAATTCACCAAGATACAATAACATTACACTGATCTTTATATTTTCAACATACTTTAGTGTGCCCTAGCGGAACATACGGGGTGGAATGTAAATTTCAATGTGGTCAGTGTAGAGATGGTGTGGCCTGTCATCACGTGTCAGGAACCTGTGTCAGTGGATGTGAGCCAGGGTACACGGGTCAGGCTTGTAAGAATGGTAGGTATCGATGTCCTTTTATTTCAGCTTTTCAGATCGTGCATATTACTCATCTTTTGAAAAATAGATTGCTCAATACTGATACAATTGAAAATAATTGAGACAAAACAATACAGTAATAACATTTAGGATGACGTCATTTTGGGTCCTTATATTTGAAAATAATTTATATTTAGACATAAAATTGCCTTCAGATATTTTTTCTATTCGTATATACGATTTAAAGCGCATGAAGGCTTGCTGTAGTGTACAAAGTTACACCCATTCTAAATACTACAGTGTACCAAGGAACACACTGTCGCCTGCTAGAGCCTTAATAAGAACATAAACTACTTTGTAACATTCGAAAAGGCTTAAAAAGGCTTAATGGAATTCAATATTTTTAAAGTGAGTGCATTTTTATTAAATTTTCAAATTAACATTTAGTTCATACAAATTCATCTTTTTATCAGTATGTGTGGTAAATGTACATCATACAGTAATGTAAAGTAAATATAATGTTATAAGGTTAAAGCATGAAATACTATTTCTAAAACGAGGTAAGTTATTGACAAACAAGTTGATGAAACAAGAATATCAGCAGTCTCGTTTAAAGTCATCATTTCGTAAGCCTTATGGTCGATACAATGACCTTGTCAGCAAGTACAATCTATCATTATCAGATGCTGACTGAATTTTTTCATACTAATTGTTAGGCCATTATTTACACACTGAATTGTCGACGAATGTTTCCGTTATTTCCCGATCATGACAAGGAGCACACGGCGGGTGTGACCGGTCGGTAGGGGATTGTCACTCCTCCATGGCACCTGATTCCAGAGGGATTTGCCATTGACCCGCTTATAAGTCGGTACAACTTTTTGTTAGAATCAGTTGACAATTTCAAACCAATGCTCTGATGTTTTAACCTGGTTTCGGTTAATATTCTTAGAAATGACACCGATATTTAATTTCAAATCAGTAAGAAAAATACATAATGCACACTTAAAATAAAAATAAAGTTATTAAAATATGTAAATACTTGTACTTTATGTACAATCTTAGAATGCATAAATAATATGATATATCCATACTACATTTCGACGTCCAGATAATACTAATAAGCAAATTAAAAGTGGGGTGGCTAATTGAAAGTGGGGGGGGGGGGGGCTAAACCAATGAAAAAGGTAAGCCCCAATTTTCAATGCCTATATTATGTATATCTTTGCAAAAAAAGTGGGGGTGGGGGTGGGGGGGGGAAAGCCCCCCTAGCCACCCCCCCCCCCGGTTCCGACGCCTACGCTAATCTTTTTATGACTCGCCTATAAGTCGGACCTAGAGTTTTGGACCAAAATTTAACTCCAAAAAACCGACTTATAGCCGAGTACACACGGTAATCCATTAGTGCTCTGTAGGCAACACACAAAAAATTGTCCCTATTAACCCATCAGAGGTTGAGGGTATTTATTTCGTAAAGTACATTTTGAATTTTTAGTACAAAATATGATATTCATGAAAAAACATCAAACAAATTATAAAAAAAAAAAAAAATCATGTAACATTAAATATCTCGCAAAAGAGAAAAAGATCTAATTAGATCTACATGAACACACGATACCATCTTTCGTTGGTTACCTTAAATAAAAATTCTTCTCTTTTTTCTATCTTAAAAGTTTGTCCTTACGGCCAATACGGAGATAAATGTGAGAAATTTTGTGGAGCGGATGCTAAGTGTAACCCTGTTACTGGCGAATGTTGTGGTTGTACCGAGCTGCTTAAGTCAGGTAGGACATTTCTCAGAAAAGGTAAATAAATTGATTTTAAAAAGGAGCTAGTGGTCATTAAACATAGTCAATCTTGCTGTGTTCTCAATTTCCACTACATGAGCGAGTAAGAAAAATACTATTTATGAAAAAAGGCTTTATTGTATTTATAAGCGCATCCATTAGAATGATATGTATTTCTTATTTATTTTTTTTTATTTATTTGATTGTTTAAATATAGCTATAAATTTCCTCATGAAACATTTCATCTTTCAAGTATAATTTATAGTTAAGGAGAAAGATGCAAATCTTGACCACGAGGAGAAAGTTGTCATCGGACTGGCCGTCCCCCTAGGAGTGTCACTTCTGGTAAACTGTATTCTGTGTTCCGCCACCTGTTACTTCTACATCATTTACAAGGAGGAAATCGTCAAGAAAAGGGATGAAAGGGACGAAAAGAATGAACACTTTCTAAATTAAGTATGAACATAGAGTTTAATTTGGCATAAAAATACCTCAGTCTCAGATAAATTATTACCACATGCTGGTTTTTCATCAGGTAATGAATAAGCACTATCCTTAGGAATTATGCTTAAAATTTCTTTTGATTCCAATCATATTCATCATATGCTAAAAATTATTATTTCTATACTCGACTTAGTATTGTAAAGCTCAATTACAATAGTTCATTGTTATTCAACATTGGTTTATTTTACAATTACAGACCCCTTCTGTCAAATCATGTTTAAAGTATGCCTTTGTTTGGTTATTTACAAAGATTGTAATGGCTAGGATGCATTGATAGAAGCATTGTGCAATATTGATAAAAAAAGAATTGAAACAAATTTTGTTTCGCATAGCCATGCTTTATTCAGCATCATTTTTAAGGCACAGAATTTTTTTTGCTATTTTCATGGTTTAATATAAATGTGAAACATACATGATAGTGTATAAAGATAGAATACTAGTATCAGTCTGTAGAAGGATAGAAATATCCTACACCAAAAAATGGAAGCGTGTTTACGTTTTATTTATTAGATACAAAAGTAAATACGAGCAAAATAGGAACTAAATAAGGACAGTGATTGAGAAAATTGTTTAATATGAAATCTATATTTCATTGGTGTTTCAAATTTCATATCCATCGCATCAGTTCATATCATTTATATGCATAGTTATATTGTTTATTTCTTAAAATTGATTTCCTCGTGACTTTCATTAATATTTATGTGATGTGTTTAGCCACACACTAATAATTTACTAGTTTATTAGTTTATGATGAGGTACATTTTGTTACACATTATTATTTTTTAGTTATATTGCAGCATCATCTCTAAAATATTATTTCATTGTCTAACGTAAGAATACTGATATTTTACTATATCACATTTTCAATATATTTTTCACATCATGGTGTGATTTTCATTTTTAAACAAAAGTATATGTTAATGGGAAGATCGGATACATGATAAACTTTTAGATGATATAATGTCTCGACATATATTAATAAAACATTCAAAATACTTATCATACAAGTAAAGTATGATATGTATAATGTATGTATTTTTTCATTAAAATAAAATCGCATACTCAGGAAACGTATTAATCATAAATGATAAGAAATCAGATTTCTTTTAGATTCAAAGATTGCAATTTGTATTATATTTGTATTTTGTTACTCAGAGAAATTGTATAAGTGTCGTTTTTTGAAATAAACTTTAATGATTATAAAAAAATATCTGCATTAGGTTGGTTGTTTTGAATGCACATATATAAAAAATAATTAAAATTTTCCTTAAATGTTGTTTAATCTTCTCGTTAGATTTATGTAAGGGACTGGTCACTGTTTGTTATCTCCAGCACGTTCGTACCTTTTAAATAAATCTCCTATTCATACCTTCAAGTCCTATAATGTTATTGTAATTTGGATGGTCTCGGAAAAAGAAAAACTAAAACAGAATAACACAAACAGGAACACCCGCCGGTCGACAGGAGATGTTTACTCCACAAGGGCACCTGATCCCGCCTCTGATGTTTTAAATTTCCTTGGTTTGCTTTGCTCCCAAACTGCATTGTTCAATGAACTTTTGAGATTGATTACTGTCCTTATTTTCACATTTTACTACAATGACAGGTACTGAAATAATCATACTGATTACAATACTCCATGACGTCGAAGTATATCTAATTAATGATGAATAGATGTTAGAACAAGATGTGGTGATATCTCAGCTGAAAATGAATGTTCCTTATCTCTTTGTTATATATATCGAGTTCCAAAAATATACATGGTATATGGTAATTATTCACACCAAAAAAGATATATCGCAATTGTTATTAACTGTTTATTCAACTCATAAAGTAGCAGCAAGAAACTAGTCACAATAATACTTGTAAAGACATTACAAAAGAAAATCTCCCTGAGTATGACTTTTTAGCTCACCTGAGCCAAAGGCTCAAGTGAGCTTTTCTGATCAAAATTTGTCCGTTGTCTGTCGTCGTTGTCGTTGTCGTTGTTGTAAACTTTTCACATTTTCGACTTCTTCTCAAGAACCACTGGGCCAAATTCAACCAAACTTGCCATAAAGCATCCTTGGGTAAAGGGGATTCACGTTTGTTCAAATGAAGGGCAACGCCCTCTTTCAAGGGGAGATAATTAGGAATTAGTGAAAAAATAATGGCATCATTTAAAAATCTTCTTCTCAAGAACCACTGGGCCAGGAAAGATGAAACTTATGTGAAAACATCCTTAGGTAGTGTAGATTCAAGTTTATTCAAATCATGACCCCCGGGGGTAGGGTGGGGCCACAATGGGGGATCCAATTTTTACATAGAAATATATAGGAAAATATCTTTAAAAATCTTCTTCTTAAGAACAGTAAAGCCAAGATTGGTCATATTTATATGGAAGCATCCTCAAGTAGTGTAGATTCAAGTTTGTTTAAATCATGACCCCCGGGGGTAGGGTGGGGCTACAATGGGGGATCCAAGTTTTACATAGAAATATATAGGAAAATATCTTTAAAAATCTTCTTTTAAGAACAGTAAAGCCAAGATTGGTCATATTTATATGGAAGCATCCTCAAGTAGTGTAGATTCAAGTTTGTTCAAATCATGACTCCCGGGGGTAGGGTGGGGCCACAATGGGGGATCCAAGTTTTACATAGAAATATATAGGAAAATATCTTTAAAAATCTTCTTCTTAAGAACAGCAAAGCCATGATTGGTCATATTTATATGGAAGCATCCTCAGGTAGTGAAGATTCAAATTTGTTCAAATCATAACCCCCGGGGGTAGGGTGGGGCCACAATGAGGGATCAAAGTTTTACAAATGAATATATGGGAAAAAATCTGTTGCTCAAGAACAACCAAGCCATTTGTTATATTGATATGAAAGCATAATCAGGTAGTTTAAAATTCAACACCCCCCTCCCTGTAAACTTTTCAATACTGTACTGATTTTTGCTTTTTTTCCTAGCCAATGTGCTCAGGTGAGCGATGTGGCCCATGGGCCTCTTGTTTGTTTTTTTTTTCATGCTGTTATCTAATATTTCATTTTAAGGTCGTTTAAATGGATTTTATAGAAGAATAGAAAATAAACGCGATGTTTATTAGAAATCTGCATGTCGGTGTGACCGGTCAACAGGGGATGCTTACTCCTCCTAGGCACCTGACCCCGGCCATCTCTGAAATATCCGGGGGTCTGTGTTTTTGCCCTGTCTACAGATTTGTATTGTTTATAGATTTTCAAGAAATCGATCACTGTTCGTCATCTTCACCTTTTTCATTTTGTATGGAAAATTTTTAAATATTGTGAAGTTTAAGAAGTACAAGTTTTTCATAAAATATTAATACCACATTAAAGGTTCAATAGATTTATGAATAACAATGATAGGTGATTGCATATATTGTTTCATTATTTATGCACATGCCATATTGCTATGTAATTAAAAAAAAACATTTATCATTTGAAACACTGCCATTTTTTGACATAACCTTTCCCGAATAGATTGCAAAAGATGTTGATAACATATAGGAAAAGGTTTATACTTTACAACTGTTCTACTGACATACTGCAATTTATACTGCCTATACCGAATTGTAAGACCGTTTATATTTTGATGATACGTTAAATGCATTAAACTTAATACGCATTGTACATAATTATGACAATATTCTTTCTATTTCTAAGTATATCTCATACGTTTTGTATCGAAGCTTTTCTCCTCTTACCATTTAAAACAATCTTAAAAACGAACAATGACACGCTCTGAAAATATCGAAATCATGTTAATTGATGGCTTAGTGTTAGGACGTTTACATGAAATGGACAAATTTGGAAATTACCTTATCAAATGAAAAAGCATTTCCGATTACTAATCTACCGTCTTTAATTATTCTTTTGTGCTTTATTTCACAATTTCATTTTATATTAGGATATAAATAGTTGCTATTAACATTTTTATTATTGAAATAAAAATCTTATCGTTAAATTTGTTTTTTTTTTCTGGGTATTCTTTTAGTATCCTGTGATACCTAGGTACTAACAAATGCAAATATTTTCTTTGATATCAACACTTTAATCATCAGCATACTGATGTTTTGAACTGCTTACTACTGATATCTTAGTTCTGGATACGGGCTTTTCATCTTCTGTTCCTTAACCACCTATTTGCCAGTATCCGTTATATCCATTTTGATGTGGTTTCAGATCACTGTCATCGCACTTTCGAGCTAATACCATATCCCCATTAGTTGATTTCTTAACAAAAAAGACTGATTTGATTAAAAGGTAGATGTTGCACGATTATTTTCAAAAATAAATTGTATATTGTAATTTTTGATTTGAAATACAAACCAACAAGATGGTGAGACAAGAGTCCTGTATCTCTACCGATGGAACATCTACATCCATAGGGTATTTTGAACAGTGCATTTAGAATGATGTAGTGTCGGAAAAAGACTTTCTAATTAGATGATAAAGATACGGGGCTCAAGGTTTTTTAACAACCTTATCATCATGCTGAAACCATAATCCTCTCCAGACCATAAATCCAATACATTCTCGTACTTTAAATATGTCTATAGTTCTATGAAGAGGGAGGTCTAAATAAGGCTAAAGCTGAAGAACTTGATTGTATATTCCCGGTAGTCTTCAATATATAAAAATAATTTCTTATTTTTGAATTGGATTAAATTTCATTTCAAAAACAATGGGTACATTCATCGCCTAAGCAAGGGCCTTATCAATGCATCTGCGTAAGAATGCAGTCTACCAGCGCGGTGTTCAATAGCCATATGTCATAACTATATAATATTTCAAGCGAATAGCTATTTGTCCTACGGGATTTTCCAACCTCATGAGCCAGGCAAGGGGTTCATGAAATGTTCTTATCTTGGTTTGTTCATACAAAGATAAGTTACAATGTTTTACAGTCACAATAGCAAGCTTAAGAAGCTCTCTTCTTGTTTTCCAGTTATTACGCTCTGATTTAGCAATCTACTAAATATCTCGGAAAATTAATTATATCACTCTTATTTTCCCAATCTGTATTTGAGAAAGCATTGCTCCTGCTTCATAATTTGAGGCATCAGTCCTTGTTCGAACGACAAGCCGATACAGGAGATATTATAAGGAAATACTTTAATTTTTCAAATGCCTCTTGATGGACTTGTGTCCAACTAAGCATTGTTTTCTTTTAACTTTTGTGAGCATTGAGCTATGTTTATGTACCCCTTTACAAATTTTTGATAATAAGAGCGAAGTTCTTTTATACACGCCACTTTACATGTCTCTGGAAAAGTTTACACTTCTTTGAAGATAGTTTCAACTAAGATTGTCTTAATCTCCGAAATACTTGTTTCAGATTATCTAATCGGTTATTGAACAGGTCGAGGAATCTACCTTAAATGACACTTGTTATTATGGCACACAGCGAAGCTTGTGGTGAAGAGTTGTCCAGTCCGAAAATGGAATAACTAAACATGATGGTCTACTACATATTGTTTACATTTTACCTAAACAAATATTCATTTATTGAAATGCTGGAAATACAATTGAAAATCATTTTCATTGCTTTTATAAAAAACAAAGATTAGATGCTTGTAAAGATGTTCCATGCTCACATTAAGAAATGAAGTTGTTTTTCCTGGGATAAAATATAGTTTGGAATCCCTTCATTAAATCATCGCAATACTAGTATTAAAAACTTTAAATCTCCAACACTTGATAAAACGTGAGGATACATGTATCTTAGTGAGTATAATCATGGTCCAGGGAATATGCGTGAAATGTGTTTTCATTGATACTACAAAATGGGAATACGTTTATAAATAAATTTTTTGTAAATGTAAGCATGGAAAAAGAAAATAGTAATGTATATACGAGGGCCGTTCAAAAATATTTGACGACAAAAACACACAAAAAGTCACACGTATTATAACAGAATCTTTACTTTAGTGGTCAACAAAATTTCATTTCAATATATTGTAAAAAAAAAAAAATATATCGATTTTGAGTGATTATTTCAGACCTATCATGTAATCACGGCGCAGTTAAAGTGAAATCTGCAACGTCAAGACATCATATAAAATATGCGATCTCATCTTCTCCTTTGTTGTTTGAAACACAGTTTGTGTCACTTATCCACTCTTCTTAAACATCTATAAATCATTTCTAAACCATCTTGGAAACTATAAAACTAGTGAATTATTTTAAATCTTTTTTGTTTTTAAACTCCTAAACTGCATCTTCTGAAATATTCTGTGACGTCGGTCGCCCTTAAAAACGGTAACAGTCTAGATCAATTTTTTGTCGATGATCTTGCGAATTATAGAAAATCAATGCGAAAAATTATGGGTTCTGTGAGTTCCTTTTTCAAAAATTTTACCGTGCTCTGTACATCACCATTGGCAATACAACATCAATAATTTTAAGAGAAATTAATTATTATTAAAAAAAAAAATGTTCCAAAATTTTACTAAAATCATTAAAAAATATGTTTCTGTAACATTTCAAGGTTATTAGATAACGAAGAAAGTGTGCTATACTGAGGTGTAGTTGACGGTGTTTATATTACAATGGAATTTACGATTTGCTTTCTCTTTAGTGTCTTTTATATCAAAAATGAACATGCATAAAAGATAAAGATAACTAAAGGAAAATACACAAGGTTCTATAAAAAAAATTAAGCCTTTGAAAAGGCGAAAAATTATAACTATAAAAGTGTATGGCTCCATGTTGATTCGAACCACGACCGTAAGAAGCATCCTCGTTATTAGTAGTCAGCGGTTACACCATCTGGCCCCGCCGTCACCAAAATTCCTCAACCTCAACCACAGTGCTCAACTCAAACCCTTAAGGTTTCCTTAAATGAAGTCTTCCTCGGATCAGCGTCACCAAACGGACCGAGGATCACCTCAGTTGAGTTAGACTTCTTCAAGTCTAAGTTTAATATCAGGGTCTGGTATTGCGTCACTAGAATAAACGAGCGAAAGCGTATCTAGTAAAAATTGGGAAGCAGGCTTTTCTGGTTAATACGTTTTTTACTGACTCTGCTAGCTCTGTGAATGATTCATTTTTGTCTGAAGTCTAAATCAGAAAACTTTAGCCTTATTCTCTGACCCGAATCTGTCTTTCAATTTTTTTTAATCAAGAGATTGAAATCTGTTCTTTCCACTGACTGTAAATTGCTTAAAACTAACAATGCTGTGCTCGACGAACTTATGGCTAAGTACAAAGCTTCTTGCTATACTCTAAATGTTGATTTTAGCCACAGTTATATATTGTGTGCTAAATACCCCTCGAAATCCCCAGTTCCATCAAATGACTTAGATTTCATATTTATTTTCTATGATTTGGATATTCTAGATTTTTTATGGATAGTCTGGACTACTATGACGTGTGAGACTAGGTGAACAACCTCATGTTCTACTGATTTGCCTATTTTTGTTTTCATCTTCTTCACTCCGCTCGCGAGAACTCTCGTAAAAATAAGCTCTTCTATCCGGATAGGTATTTTCTCTCTCTTCCTTGTAAAAATGAGCATGTCAACCTTAAGTATCGTTATCTCTTATCCTTCTTTTCATCTAAAAATATGTCTGTCATAAACCGCTAGAGTATTCGTCTCAAATGCATGAATCATTAATTCACATTTCTCATTGAAATTTGAATCCCAATCGCTATTATCCTCATCTATTGATCTATAGCAATGTGTTTTTAATTGTGTTTTGGTCTTCAATTCTGGTCAATTGGTCATCGTTAGAAAGATTTACCATTTATCATCCTTTGAACTTTTAAATCCTAAATACTGAATTGTCTAAAGGTGACATAATTAATAGCTATTTCTATCTCTTACACTAGTATCTATTACTATAAGATGTTTCATGTCATCTCTATTGTAAAGCTTTTGGTATGTCTGTGTAGTTTGAAGAAGTCGGTAAACGTATGAGTTACAGTAAAATAATTGGGTCAGAAGGTTCCTGTAAAAATAAAACAAGTGTAATGAATAAAATAACATTTATTAAATTATGAATATATTAAATACTAGATATGAATTACAAGTAAAATTGATACAAAGCATCAAATCCACGCAAACAAAATTAAGCATTAAAAAAAATAACTTTTACAAGTAAGCGTCCCAGAAAAGCACAAGGTAATTCAGACTGTCTTCAAAGAAATACAAAAGGACACAATTTGCATTTAAGAATGGTACCTGCTTTCCGAGCATTTCAAAACGATTCATCAATATAAAAATATTTGATGAATCAAAAGAATGTATTGTGATATTCAGATCGTCAGATAATAAAAAGTAATCACCTTTCCACGTAATGCTGATTCCCTGAATCTTTGTCACGTGATAATGCCTATAATTTCTACTGATCATGGTGTTCATTGACAACACATAGATGTAGATGCAAAGTGAAAAATTTGCCTCTGTAGCAATAAAAAAAATTAAATTACCTTTACTAAGTTTTCATTTTGTATTTATCAATTTTGCCACTGTAATATTGCTTTCCGAACCATCTTACGATTTGCGTTTCATATCTTATACACTCCCTTCTTGGGGAGTACCTATTGTAAACACATTTTATAAAGTAATAAATTATTAATTATTTAATGTGAGAATGAAAATAAAATTGACATATAAGACAATAATTAAGACTTAGTTTAAAACATGTTTTAAAAACAATTTTTATCATAATGTTTATACGTGTTAACACGCAGTAAGGGATTAATTACCGATCTAATAAATATGATAACGTCTTAATTTTTCATGTTCACTTTCTAGAACAATCACTAATAGATCGGTTACTCCTGTGGTCCATAATGAAATAACTTTGCACTTCACATATTTATTATACAATAAAAACTATATTCACACGGTACGTTTGTACGTATTACTCGTTGGCTAGTGCTGCCATCACTAGGCACCAGGTGCTAACAAAGGTATTGGAGCTAATTGATTCCAAGTTCTTTCAAAGTAAATGTACTACGACATTTGTAATTTGATTTGCAACATTAAAATAATGAATCACAATAGAATATATTTTACATTACCACATCTGTAAGAGTTCCTTGACTTTACAAAAATTCTATTGACACTCTAATAGTTCATATAGACAACACCAACTCGTGTACCCAACATAGCTACAGACAATCGCCGTGAAAAATATAAGCATTCATTCAATATCTGTACAAAAGATCACTATTTTTAAAAACAAAATATAAGTTGGAAATGCTTGCGCAACAAGTATTAACATTGAAGTGCTGTTCTTCTATATTTCGTAAACTTGTCTAATCCAGACATCAATGATTTATTTTCACATTTGCCGGATTGGACAAAATTCCGAATAAGACATTTATAGTCAATTCAATTCAATAATACAAGCTTGAAGTTAACACCGTAATAGGCAAGTTTTCGGAACATACAACATTCGGATTAGAATTTTGCTTTTAACTGTATTACACCGTTTTTTTTCATGCAGAAACGACTGTGTTAGTGTGAAATAAAAGGGGTGCTTTAAGGTACATGTAGTACCACTGATTTACAAGTGGAGAGTAATGTCATCTTTAACAAATTTCAACACAGCTTGATTTCATCAGCACTGCATCGACATGTATATATTCCATATTCTTTCGCACAATACGGCTACTTCTGCCGAAGGCTGATCACTGCCAAGTTGATTTAAATATGTTCTTAAGAAAACCGGAACCAGAAATTCCTGTAATAAACCAGTACATAAAAGATAACGAATTGAAGCGTTCAAGAATAGATATTTCATTTATCTGAATTTGTGCACAGAAACTGATTGCCTGCTTGTTTGATAAATTTAGGCTGTCCGCCAAGTTGGCAAAATTGCCTATTATTTGACTGTAAAACAAGTCTGCTGTAACAGAAATTGAATTACCTGATACACATTGTTGTTCAGAATTACATCAAGTTCGTCTTCCTATGAAAAATGTAAAAAAAGAAGATAAAACTTAAGTAACAATTAACCATGCAAAAACCGATATTTCTTTAAACATTGAAATCTACCTCTGGGAAAATGTCCATATCATAAAGGACTGTGGCGTCTGGACTACTTTCGTTGAAAGATTTTCTTTTTTCGGAATCCAGTGTAACCATTTGTGATTGTTCTGCGTCGTTTTTCCTTTGCATATCATTTGTTAGTTGTTCAGCTCTGAGTTGCAGCAACTGGATATTCTCAATCTCGTTCTTACCTTCTTTTTCGCAAATGTCAAGTTGAATCTGTATTTCAAATAAAAGATGTAGGATAAATTGTTGTTAGGTACGCAAAATTTATTTTCTTGATGTTGATATTTCGATCATCATACACACCCTTGGTACTTTATAGTTATTTAACATAGGTTCTTCATCCGGTAATCTTCTTTTCGACTATAGAAAGACGAAAAACTTATTTACAAAGTTGATATTTCAGGAACATTATGAAATTTATCTTATAGCGTTTATTATGCGTCATTTATTTTCCTACTAACGTTTGTATTTCAGCGCACTCCAATATTTCATATTAAGCATATTATTGAGGATTTAGAAGTGCTAAGTTTTTAAAAATAATGACCTGCGATTGATTTGAAGTTTTCAAGTTGTGCGTTCCTGCAAACAGTTGGTGGTCCTTGCTTTTGGTCATTGCTTTTTCAAAATTACATGCATTGTGTTGTACATGCTCAAATAAGTCTGGATCCAGTTGTGGCTGCCCTCCTGTTCCTCTGTTGGTTTTACCATATTCTGTGTCTTTGACTGCTTGTATCATTTCTGTTTCAGGGTTAGGGCTGGCATAACTTTGATGAGCAGTTTCTTCCCTTTGTAGATCATGGATATCTGATTTACTTCTTTTCTTAGCAGAAGGTTCACACAACATGCTGTTTGTTCCATGAGATGCCACTGTCACATTTGGTTGAACTTCTTTTTCATTTGTCGCACTTTTTGAAAAGGAGGAGAAAGGTATCTCTGTAGCTTCATTTGACGTAATTGAGAAGGTACATGTAGTAACACATGTCGATTTACTGATCCCATAGTTATCCTGACCAAAAGAAATAAAATTAACATGAATGAATCTTAAGGTTAAAGCTAAAATCATATCTTCAAAGATTTATAGCTTTTTTGCTAGCATTTCTTAATTTTACTGTGCTTTTCCGACCCTTAATCTTTTATTTTAATACAAAGGATGCTATTTAACATTGGTGCTAGCATATTCTGGCTTGTAAATATTAAACAAGGGGACAATAACCTGCCATCTCTGCGAAACAGCTTTAAAAGCTTCAATTATATCTGTTGAGGGTTCACCATTAATGCTAGCATACAATCTGAGTTTTGGAACAATGTCAATTTCCAGCATCCATCTTTCTAATGCGTTTTTACTATCTTCGCTGTTGTTTTCCTTTAGATTTTGGTAATGTTTCAGTAGAACATCCCATTCAGGTGGTAGAGGGTTCCATTTCTCCTTGAATAACAGAATTAATTTATTGAAGATTTCTTCACCTCCTTTGTTTAGATTTGATATGTTTTTGAACTCATCATCCTTTTTCCACCCTGGAGGACCCTGGATGTAGAGTGATTTAGGAATCTCTGTTTGACTTATTTCATAGATTAATTTCACAATAGGTGTCTGGCTGCATCTCTGAAATTTTCGTAAAACTTCAGATCTGGCCAGTCTTTTGATTGTCGGCCCAGGATTCACTTCCACATCACCACACGTCCATAACACGAGTAACAACGCTTTATCCGACCAAAGCAATACATGAGTTTTCCTGCGTCGAGAGGAAACGCGAAGAGAGAGTAAGTGTGTAGCAACTGTAAAAGAAACATATCAATATTTAAAAAGGTATATTACTGTTAAGTTATTCATTAGAAAGTCATAATTTATAGACTACGATTCTTCAAAAAAGTTAAAAAACTGTTACAACAAAAGAATAAGATATACTGTGCCCTTTACTGACCAAGTAGGATTGTCAGGATTTTCAGCAGTAGCTTTTCTTGAGCTATAAAAAAAAATAAACTATTGAGTCAGCAGAAAAGAACAAATGATGAAAATAGAAACATATTCAATGGCATGAAGTACATGAGAATATTAAGTAGACACCTATATTCAAGAAATTGCTAGCCTATTCTGTTAAAGAAACTAAGTTAGGACACTTTTCATGTAAATCTTATATGGTACCAATTTTGATGCACCAGATGCACATTTCGACAAATTATGTCTCTTCAGCGATACTCATGCCAGAACGTTTGAAATCCGAAATATTTAAATCTGAAGAGCTGAAAAAGGGGGTGCCAAAGACTGGAGCCAAGTACGTCGAAGGATTAGAGCTATGCATGATCTCTTATCATCTTTTCAGCTTATAATCATCTTATAATTTCGTGAACATTAAAGAATAAAAATATCAATTGTCATGATAAAAACTCCGACTGCACTACAATTGGATTTTTAATGCTATACTCAATAATTAAAACTATTAAAGATCACAAAATCGTAATTTTGACCTGTTTTCTGCAATGTTAAGTAAAGGGCTGCTGTGCTCTTACCCAAAATGCGCTGAAAAAATCTCTGTTTCAAACGTTTCCTAGTACACCGATTCTAAATTTAAGCAACGATACGTTTGTTCTGAAAGACATTTGTGCGAATCGGTAACTGAATTGTACTAAAAGATTTGTTTCATAAGATTTTAAATGACGAATTCAAAGCAGATTCTGCACAGAATTAAATATTCATCTATATCAATGAATTTAGCAGGAAAGGTTGAAATGAAATTACTTTTCAATATAACATGAAATATAACATCTATTTTATGTCTTTTTGAATAGTTTCCTTTCTAAGGACAAATTTATGCATATCTTATTTCAATATCTTATAAATTTAACACAATAACACAAAACATCTAGATGCAATCAGCTTACAAGCGAGATGTCTTCCTTAGCAATACTTTACTATAGTTATTTATGGTTCATTATAGTTAACTTAAGTTAACTATAATAAATATTCTGATACTTTGATTTACGCCATAATTTACACTAAAACATGTTTGAAGATTTAGAGCCTAAGTATTTCATAAAATGAATATCATTGATGTACATTTTTTAAATAATATGCAAATTTACAAGTATAATTCCCTTTTCATAAAAGAAAGTTGCTTTTAAAAATGAAAAACAAAAAAATATGACGATCTGCAATTTATGTTAAGGCTACTTTGATTAAAGATAGGAAAAAAAAACTTTGATTTATGACTGTGAAATCTACTTTTGTGAAATACAGTAGTAAACTGTACATAACTTTTGTTTATTATTGCACTTTTTCTCAGGGTTTCGTCATATTTCTGGTAAAATTGAAAAGGACCTCCACTTAAACCATTTAGTTGGAAGAGAAACGATTGTAGATGAAAGAAATAGGCCGTAACATTTTAAATATTTTATGTATTTATATATATAAGGTGAGAGAAAAGATCAAGTATCTTAACAGTTTATATATGGTTTTTCTAATAAACTTCCTGTTACTCTTAAGAGCTCAAAACAAATTATAATTATAGATTAAACGGGCAAAAAGTAGACCTAACAAAACCATAAACTCATATCTTATTCTACTTTCAGTGCGGATGAACCATACATATGGTTCTCTCTTTAAAAGTATACTATGAAAATTGTTCGAATAAAAAGTTAGAAAATTGCTTATTTGGAAACAATTATTTCCGCTGGACGGTATAGATAAGTGACAATTGAATGAAAACGTGACGAAAAGTGATCGATCTCAAAAATCAACAAACAATACAAATCCATGAAATTGCATTAACACGGATCCACAGAAATTCAGAGGTGGGACCAGGTGCCTTAAGCAGTAAGCATTCCCTGTGGACCGGCCAAACCTTCCGTGGGCCCTATATATTGGTCAGGTAGACGGAACTGATCAATGAAGCTTTGTTGCCCAAAAGCAAGAAAAATTGTATGATTAGCATTACCAAAATAATTGGTCTAGTATCTATCTGCCCCCCCCCCATTTATCACTATTACCATGCAGACTATGTCTATTTCTTAACCCGATATTATTACTTCTCACATTGGCCTCTCTTGGCCTTTGAAGAACATTTAAAAAGATGTTATTTTTGTCTCATTTTCATTCATCTATTATTTCCAAGTCATTAAAACTATGAAAGTATTTTTTGTATTATACAATAAATATTCTTGCAGAATTCTCTTATTCTATTAAGCTTTCAAATACATTATTTACCTCGATTAATTATCAAAGGTGAATGGCAAAGGGGAATGACTTTGCTCAGCAGAATACAAGTTAATAGAGCCCAGGCCAGGACCAGAACACTTGGCTAAATGGTCTAGGTGTTCAAAATTCTGGCATAAATTCTCTTGCATATTAAAACTTTTACTCTGTTTGCCTCGAACATCCCAAGAAGCATAGAAGAATTTCAAAGAAATGCATTTTCATTATATCATTAAATAAATAAAGCCCCATCCTTACACCAGAACATCTGACCCATTGGCTATGAACTCACAATTCTGGAAGAAGCATCTTGTTCATCATAACTATACACTTGTTCTTTACTTTATAACAAGTAGTAGAAAAAAATATTTTGAAAGAAATTATGCATTCTCACCATAATCAATAGCCCCCCCCCCCCCCTTCACCAGAACCCCTGACCAAGGGGCCATGAATTTCACAATTTTGGAACAGGCATTCTTCCATATCATAACCATGCACTTCCTGTGTTTGAAAAATACCCAGGAGCAGAGAAGAAGATTTTGAAAGTATTTATGCCTTTTCCCTATATAATCAATAGAGACCCGCCCTAACACCAGAACCCCTGACCCAGGGCCATGAAATTCATAATTTCTGAGGAGGCAGCCATGCTCATCATAACTATGTACTTAGTTTATTTAATATCCAGGAGCAGAGAAAAAAGATTTTCAAAGAATTAATGCAATTTTACTATATAATCAATAGAGCCCCACAATAACACAGGGGTCATGATATTCACAATTTCTGAAAAGGAAGCCATGCTCACCATCACTATGTTCTTAGTTAGTTTATTTAATACCCAGGAGCAGAAAAGAAGATTTTCAAGAATTAATGTATTTTTCACTATATAATCAATAGAGCCCCGCCCTAACACCAGATCCCCTGACCCAGGGCCATGAATTTCACAATTTTAGAGAGACACTCTTGCTCAACATAACTATGTACTTAGTTAGTTTATTTAATATCCAGGAGCAGAGAAGATTTTCAAAGAATTAATGCAATTTCACTATATAATCAATAGAGCCCCGCCTTAACACCAGAAGTCCTGACCCTGAGGCTATGAAATTCACAATTTTGGAAAAGGGTCTCTTGCTCTTCATAACTATGTACTTATTTAGTTTATTTAATACCCAGGAGCAGAGAAGAAGATTTTCAAAGAAATTCATATTTTTTGTTCTTCACCATAGATGCTATGTGCCAATTTTTTTTGAAACTGGTTAAGCGGTTTCAGAGAAGAAACTAAAAATGTATAAATGTTAACACACGACGCACACCGCACGACGACGGACGAAAACAGATAGCAATAGGTCACCTGAGTGATTCAGGTGATCTAATAACACAAAATTGCATGTTTAGCTTTCAAATTAATATTTAAAATCAAAAAAATGTTCATATGTGGATCTAGTGGGAAAAAGGGCAATCAAGGAGTCTGGTCTGGTCCCCCTGGGATGTTAAGAATTCAAATGTTAATAATAATTCATAAAAACAAGTTGCTGTCCTTTAAAAAAGGTCTGCAATACATGGACCATAGGCCTGTGTGTTTCTAACAGAGATTTAAAAGAAGTTCTGGGTTTTAATTAAATACATTTTACAAAAAGATTTCTTCCAGCTTGAATCTTGTAAATATTGAATTATAATTTAACTTTATGGTATAATTGCTAAAACTGTAATAGCGAATGCAAAAAAAAAACAAAAAAAAAAAAAAAAAAAAAATAACCCCAAAAAAAACCCCCACGTCCTGAACAAGGCATCTATTGTTTTTACTGTATGTAGACTTGACCTTTAAATGGGGACATATCCCACACATGTAAACTGTTTTGTTCGAGTTCAGATTTTATTGTCCAGTTTTTACCAGTGTTGTTCTCTTTGAAAGAGAAGACATCTGACATCTCTTTTAAAGATAAAATATGGTGCCAGATCTGTAGGACCTGAAAATGGGGTATTAAGTATCCAATCTAAGCTCATTTACGGTCGTGCCCTTCTCAAGAAACGCGGATAAACTTTTTAATATATTCGATCAGTGCATACTATTTATTCAAGATATAAATACTAGTCAGGTACTCTTCACACAATTGCTCTGAAATAGTAAAGTTCCATTCATGATCAGCAGATACAACATTACAACAAATGTTAAGAATAATGATGTGTACATATGTATGCAATAAGTGAAATAAAACAATATTAATGTAAAATGATTTTTAGAAAATCACAGTTTTCCCAAGAAATGCAAATAAAAAAATATTCATATTCCTACAGTAGCTGCCTCCTCAGTCTTTTTCACGAAAATATTGGTCATTCTTCTATTGATAATGATATTACTTTCATAATTTTGTATTTTGTATATTTATATATATTTGATTAATCTTATTATGATAAATCGTTCATTGGTGATAAGAATTGTTATTATTCTTATTTGTTCACCTTATGCTTCCAGCCTCAAATCACTGTTCCATCTCCTCAACACTTCCTTAGTGAAGTAGAGATGGGCAGGCCTCCTACATTTTCTTCTGAGAGAGAATGTTAAGAGCCTTTCTCTGTAATGACTTGAACTTTTATATAGGAGCTGTGGCACGCATAGTCTCAGAATTTCTCCAAACTCTCTATGATACAAGTCTTTGATATCGTAAACTCAAATCAGGCAAAAATTGGTTGCTATGTGTCATGGTTACCATAGCAACATGTCCTAAAGTTTGAAAAATGGCATTTTCCAACATGTTCAGAGTCCCACAGTTAACGTTTGCAGCAAAGCAAACAAGTGACAATGACTGTTTTTGAAAGTTGAATGCCTGATGTCTTAAATGCATGATAAACATGTTTGGTAAATCAACTATTACATACGTTACTATGGAAACAAAGTATTCAAAAGTAATAATTATGTTCATTTAACTTTATAAAGTCATACACTTAAAAATAAAAACAATTATAGGTTGAAATGCTAGCAAATAATACACAAAAGATCCTTGTAACAAATATCAAGGACGAAATATGATATTTCTTATAGGTTGGCAATGGTTGCCATGGTCTTAATACCACAAAGGGATTTTAACTTTTTTCTCTTTGTGTTTTAATCCTATCTTTTTAAAAGCACATTTCTATATAACTGATGATCAATTTTTAAAGGCGTTGGTGTGACTCTAATTTTTTACACTTCACAAAATTCAAATTCAAATCTTTAAATAGAGTGTTGTTATGGAAATAAGCTGAAAAAATATGCATAAAAATCTGAAAAATATTCTGTTTCCTTGGATGCATACCCTTAGATTCCCAAAACTTTTATTATTGATATTTATGAACAACTAACCTGACTTTCAATTTTGACTACCACCCAATCTCTTACTGGATGCAAAAAGCTAGCACATAGGATTTAATATTGATATAAAATCAACAAAATCGAACATTTTCACTTCTTGGTAACCATAGCAACAATGTTGTATTTTTCAACAAACTTTATCAATATATGATATTCAATTTTAGTTCTACTAGATAAGTACTATTCAAGGTGAGTCAAATAATATGTTTTTTGGTTAAAAGGTTAGTGAATTCCTAAAGCAGCAAAAAAATATCACTTTAAACAACTGGTACGTTGTTTCCATGGTTACACTGCAAAGTAACAATTAATCCCAATATTTCTTATGTTGTGGGTGTTGCAAGGTCCTAAGGATGTATATGTGCCAGTCATGAATTTTATTGTTTTTCCTCACGATAATAGCAGTAACCCAATCTTAGCAACAGATTTTGCATGGTTACACTATGTTACCATGGCAACCATGAAAGTTATTCTTAGAATAATATTGCCAATACCTAATTTCTTAAGGTCAAAAATTTTTATTGTTTTTTTCTTAGGTTGTTGATTGAGTTTGATCATATCACCTATCATTAGTGAATATTGAGCGTTTTTAAGCATTTTCAGCATTTAAAATGTATTCCAAACGTACCCATGGTTACCACTTACTTGGAGATAAATTCTAAATAGTTTCTTTATAGCATAAGTGGCAACAAGGTGTCCTGTTTTTGTAAGAATGGTTTGTTTGTTTTTCTTAGTCTTTGTTAAGGCTTAATAAAGATTCAAAGTAGCTGAAAATCTCAATTTTTCCAACTTTTCTGGCTGTTACCATGGCAACCAAGACACATAGCAACGAAATTTTATTTGATATATGTTTCTGGTGTCAAGTCGTAATAATGGGCAAAGTTTCATCAAAATCGGTGACCATGCGTGGCAAAGAAGTTTAAGTGGTTACAGAGAATCGCTATTAATCATTAATTGTGTGTGTGTGTGTGTGAGGGTGTGTGTGTGTGTTTTCTCTCTCAGTTTTAAATAACGGAATGGTTGAATGATTATACAACACCTACAATCGTAAATTCTCGGCAAACCAACGTGTTTTTCCGAGCTCAATCACTGGAAAGGTATTGACAATCTCATCGCACGTGTGTAGACCTAGGCTATGTGGTCTTGCAAACACAGGTGTGTGAACTGTTTGCTAGTGACGCTTCGACTGGTGATAGATTTGGTATAGACATGAGGATCTACACACCAGTTTCATAACAAGTGCAGTTTTTTCCTTAGAAATCAGTGAAAATTCGAGTAACTTAAAAAAAAAAAACATGTTAAAAGTAGAATTTCTTGGATATAAGATAACCTATATCTTGTTTATGTCAGTTCCTATCCCCCCTCCCCCAACTGAAAATGTGTTCTCCGAGCGCCAGCTGGATGCAGAAAACTGATGCCGATGAAATTTGTCCGATCTTTCAAGGTGTAACCATTGAATTAAAATATATATTTTTTGTAGATAAGAACATTTGTAGTTGCAAAAATTAAATTTATTTTTAAAATGTCTGTATATTAAAATATATTAAGTGTTAAATGCCGGCTTTTATTATATAACAAAGGAATATGTGATACTCCGCAGCCACAAAAGTTTCTTTACAGAGATTTCGCGCTTTGCTTAAGAACGTAAGTTTTACAACGGCCCGTCAACGCATCCTAAGACGAGTTCATTGGTTAATCTGAAAGGTGACACAGGTAATCCCATCGATAACATTTCCTACAATGGTCTGCCTACTTTCTTTGAGTAATAGTAGCTTAATAGCACAAAATTAATGTTAAATTCTTTCCCTGATAGGTCTATGGTGTTTTGTTTTAAAAAATCGGGCTATCTTGGGTAAGGTTTAAGGCTGGGTTTTGTTTGGGATTTGTACGGAAGATTCTATCATTGGAAAAATAAACATGCAGCACAGATCGACCCGTAGTCACGCATGATTTTTTCGGGGCACACCCCCCTCTCAACTTTGAAAAATTGAAAAACTTTGCTACGGGATTTGGATTGCTGTACATCAAATGTTGCGATGTCATTTATTAAATAGTTATACACATAAATGCATGTAGTATTAAGTACGTTTATATGGACAAATGTTTCAATCAATATGGAAACAACCGCCACTATGCTTCATTAAATATTCCTGAAAACGAGATATTGAATACAATTCATTTTAAAAGGTAGTACGGTAATTATATTCATTATAAGTTCTGTGTATGAATTTTAGATTAAAAAGAAATGAAATCTATTTCAGGCATGTGCAACTTTGTGATAAAGCCAAAACATGCATATTTATGATTATGTACATGCATTTTGCTTCCTAGTACATGTATTTATTCTACAGATTTTTTTTACATACAATGTAGAGTAGATTCGGATGTTGGATATGCTTATTTGTAATTAAATACGATGTACAGATTTTAAGGGAGGTTTGCTAATGATTGGTGAATTTATAAACTCGAAGGTGGCGAATTGTCCTAAAGGCAAGGTGTCGTAGGGGGCGAACCGTCTAAAGTATTCTGGTGCACGCGTAACCTGACGTAAGCCCATGGCATCCGGTTTAATCCCGCTTATATATTTTCTGCGTGGACCTCAGGGTCCATATATATATATATATATATATATATATATATATATATATATATATATATATATATATATATATATATATATATATATTGGTTGTCAAAATATTTTCGAGCTTCATTAGTGGATGTTGACCAGCTTAGGTAGAAATAAAAAAAAAATCGCACATGAATTTTGAAACATTGCTTCATTTAGGTTGAACAGAACTTGTACTACTTGTACTTGTCATACAAAATATAATAAAAGTACTATTTAATAACATATCGAATGTTGCCATACACATTACTAAGTTTTACTCGTTAAAATTCGAAGTGCAAAAAGGAAATTTGATTTACGATGAGTCACGATGATAGTGTGTGTGTGCGTGTGTGTGTGTGTACGTTCCACTTGAAAACTGCGGGCATTGCAGTTTCCATTACGTCGATTAAACATTCATGCAGTATATCAAACGTACCTCGTCTTTTCTCCATGAAATCCTAAAAATAAAAAAGAGAAAATAATAATAATAATAATAAACTGTAGAGGTAATAATGAACTAAATTATTAAATTATATGACATTTTCAAATAAATTAAATATATTTGATATTATATTTGGTATCCTAACACTTAATCAAACGTTCTTAAATCGAAATTCAAGCATTTGTGTGTCCTCATATGATGTATGAAAACTGGAGCTGCTTCTAATGTTTCAATTTGCAATTTGTCTTAGTTTCTTCTTATGTATATTTGGAAGGTTTTTTCATGCCTTTAAAAAGCAAATGGGCTTAATTCTCTTCATTTGAGAATTTCAGTAAGTTATCCATTGTTCTCTATGGGCTGTTTAACTTGGCGCCCCGCCACCTTTAAATTGCTTAGCACCACAGTTAAAATATTAGCGCCACAGTAAAAATGTCATCCATCAGGAAGTAAACTGAGTGTATAAATTTTAATCTCAAAATGAACCTCCAAATATGCAGTTTTTCTAATGTAAACCGTTAGATTACTTTAATTAGGACACATTGTTTGATTGCAGAATCAATTATCGTCTAATCCTCGATGGACTTTAGGCACGAACATTTCCCGCTAAATGCATAGTATATTATTAATATTAAAGTAATTAATAACTTTGGTTTGCTAATAGTAACCACGTCTCAAAAATTGCAATGGAACAGTGAATCATATCGTGCGTGTATCGTAATCATGTAATGATTGAATATTGAAAAAAAATTATATGGATCATCCATCAATATAGTATTTTATGAATCTAAATTGCTAAATATTCAGTTGTATGTTTTTATTTTTCAATTTAATTCACAATTTTTAAGAAACTTAACTCAACTAGGATCATTATTTGCAAATATACATGTAAAAGCTCGATTGTGTGACTACATGAATTCCCTCTTCCGTTTAAAGGAC